CCAGACACCTTTTAACAGAGAGAGAGACGAAAGAGAGAGAGAGAGAAACAGAGAGAAACAGAGACAAGACAGACAAGATGTACAGCAACAACAGTAGCAACAACTACATTAATAGTATGATCGATGACGGTCATCGAAAAGACGATGACCAATGAACACAAGCCCAACCGATCGGGGGACCAGCCCGAGCAGCGAATAACAAGTAACTTGTAGCAATATAATACTTAATAATAACTAATAATAATAACATAATATCAGTGATTTTAAGCAATGGTAAGTCAAGCAGTGAAACGCATGCAACAGGCTCCACCCAGGCATCCATGAGAACCCTGCAAGACGAGAAAGCACAAGAACTCCCGGGAAGAAGCTGAAGTTTAGTATACATCGCATTCAATGGGACATGAATGAGTGGCAGAAAGAGAGAGAGAGAGAAGAAGAGGAGCATCATCAGTACACCATCGGGAATCCTCCCAATAGTCTAGGCCTATAGCAGCATAACTAAGGGATGGTTCCAGGACTCACCTGATCCAGCCCTGAACTATAACTTTATCAAAGAGGAACATCCTTAAGCCCATGTGGAGAGTTTGTCTGCCTCCTATATTTGGGAGACAGTGGATCAATAAGTGGTCAAAAGCTAATACAGCATTACAAAGAAGATATCACAAACAAAAATATCATGTGTTACATTTGGCTTATTATACCTATATCTGCTTATATCTGTTCCAAACTGGGAAGTTGCCCTTCAAAAGGCTTTAGCATTTTTCGAACAAAGTAGTCTGTACAACGAGCACAGGTTGTTATTTATCCTATTGGTTGCCAGTTCTCACAAAAGTGGGTCTTGTCTAATAAAGAGATGGTTAGAGGGCATACAGTAAGGAGAAAGAAGATCACAAAAACTGCTGCTTGTTGAGACTGTGATGGACAATGGATCAGTACACTATTGGCGATGTCCTAGGCCTGGCTCCAGTAAACCAACTGCTGGGGACTAGTCAAGTTCACTGGGGGTTCAGGTAGGCTCAGGTTCAGGCTTGTTTTTGTTTCATTGAATTTTGTTGTGCCATTTTGTAGTGTGATCAAGCACTTAATGCTGTGCATGTGAAGTGAAATACATACTTTGAAGGAGGCAACCTCTGAAATGGCTGTCCATTCTCTGTCTTGCAAGTATTGGTCAAGCATATTTCCAGGGTCAGATTATTTCTGTAGGGTTTTAGGATTAAGACCTGGAACAAGTAATCCAATTAGAACCAATGTCTTTCTGAGGTGATACAACCTTAGGGCTCTCCCCACTTAGTTTGACCAAAGATGAGGGTTTGAATATAGATAAACCAATAAATTAAGAGCATTGCTTGGTCAGGCTCAGCTCCCTCTTCACTAAAAATCCCCTGTGGAGTGGCAATTAAAAGCAATCTACCTCACTTGGGCCAAAGCCAATGGGGTCTGGTTGGGCTCAGCCCAAAGGAATGACATGGGGCCATCGCCTTGTGGTGCAGCCAAGGACCTTTGTTTAATTTCAGGTGAATAGCAAAGGACCTTTGTTGCATGTCAGTTGAATTGACAAATGGGTGGCAGGTGATGGCAGGGGCATTGGCATTCTAACCACAGGCTAGGAAAAAAAGTTCTAATGAGACGCAATGTGGATTCTGTCGAGGCCATGGAACAGTGGACCAGCTCTTGCATGGATACTGGAGGAGTTTCATGGACTTGTGCTGGTGATCATGTCCCCAGACACCTCAGACACTTTTTGGGAACTTTTGTGGAAAAATGCTTAAGAGCAAAATCCTTATTTTAATTATCAGAATACAATCATTTTGTTTTGTTTTTAAAAATGTAATAGTCATTTTATTAATTCAAGTGTACATTCATTAAGTTTGCTTTTATCTTTTGTGATGTGCACCATATGATGTTGCCATTATTGCCTGATATTAAGATCATATTTTTGAGGTACTGTAAATGTGTCTACAGGTTGAACAATGTAGAATCAAGTCAAACAATCAAGTATTTAACATAAATTAAAGGGGTTATGGTTTCTGTAGAGTGTACATGTGTGCATTTGTTCCTGATCATTGACCTGGTCTGAGCAGGTGGGAGGTACAGCTGTAAATCTCTGAAAAACTGCAATGTACCCGATTGTCCATGGGCTCCTTTTACTTTGGTACAGATAACAGCCAGTTTGCCAAAACTTCCACTGCACTGGTGAAGAGCTTCCAACAACTGACGTGTTTGTTCACAAAAAAGGGACTTTAGATGTCGGTCCAACTCTGCAAGCTGTGCTTCAAATGTCTACTGCATAATAACGTCTGGTTCAATGTTAAAGAGGAGGTCATCGTTGTCCCTCCTGACCTCCAGCAGCAGGGCTGTCTCCTCCTGCAGTGCCCCCTGCAGGTCAGCTGTGGTCATCAGAGGTTTTCCATTCAGTTTCACAATGATGTCACCATCTTTGATACCACCTCTGGAGACAAAGAGAGGGATGAAGACAGACTGTTATGGGTAACCAATTCATTTTACTTCAGAACTGAGTAGCAAATCATATACTGCTTTTGTTTGAGGAATTAATAAATAAATGAAACCTACTTATGGGCAGGTGAGTGAGGAACAACCTCATGGACATAAATCCCACTGGTAACATCAGGGAAGTCTGGGTTCTGCTGTTTTAGCTCTTCAATTAACCTGGAACAAACAAATTAAAACGAACAAACACTTTTTAGAAGAAAGTCCATTATCTAAACAAGTTCCCCAGTATTTATGACATTTAATTTTTTTAAGTCAGGAAGTAATGGGTGTAGACATACTAATACATACATACTGTATAATTTCTATTTAACCTTTAATTTCTATTTAAACAAGAAAGACAAAAAGATGAAGGATTATAAAATACCCCAAATCATAATTAGCCAGAAGAGAAAGCAACCAGTTTCTAAAACAATGATTTCAGGTTTCAGGCAGAGAAAGCAGAATGCATGAAGCTTTTACCAAGTAGTATGTCCTTATGGTCAAGCAAAGAAAAAATAAAGGCTCAAACAAGCTTCAATTAGGCTAAGACAGGCCTCATTTTTGGAATATAAAAATTATTATTTTCCTTCAGCTTTTTTAAAAGCTGCTGAATATGGAGTTTAGATGAAAGATTTATCTATTATGCCAAATATGTTACAATGTTGAGAGGAAGGGATGTTAAAATAGGATTCAAAATAGATCATTTAAAGGACATTTTTAGACACTGTTAAAAGAAAACTGAAATATTATTTATTTCTCTCTCTCTC